CCTGAGAAACCACCTGATAATTAAGAGATCACCATATCATTGCAGCTAGTGCAAATCCAAGCAACCTCTTCATTCAGATGACATGGGGAATCAGGCCCTCACAGAAATATGGATAACTATTTGCACCATTTTCAAATTCCTAAGTTGGTAGATTTTAATTTAATCTGTTTTACGCTTTTAATTAAATTTAATTTTAATTTAATTTAATTACACTGCAATTAAAATGTTCATTCTGTTGTAAAACTCCTTTTATGTTGCAGCAATTTTAGTGTCACTGACACACCCTACCATCTTGGCTTATGGAGCCAGGGCCACAGAGTTGCTGGAACAACCTGCTCAGCTGCTGCAGTGAAAGGGAACAGCAGAAGGTGATGTGGAATAGAAACTCCTTTGGCCTCTTTCACAGCAGGGCCCAGAACATAACCCCAAACATCAGGGTCAGCAAGGCAAAGTGCCAGGTCCTGCACTTTGGTCAAGTGAGGTCAACAACCTCATGCAGCACTATGGGCTTACAGAACAGTACCTGGAAAGGGGCCCAGTGGAAAAGGACCTGGGGGTACTGACAATGAGCCAGCATGTGCCCAGGTGGCCAAGAAGGCCAAGGGCATCCTGGTTTGTATCAAAAATAGTGGCCAGCAGGGCTAGGGCAGTGATTGTCCCTCTGTACTTGGTGCTGCTGGGGCCACATCTCAATTCCTGTGTCCAGTTCTGGGTCACTCACTACAAGAAAGACATTGAAGTACTGGAGCATGTCCAGAGAAGGGCAACAGAGCTGGTGAAGGATCTGGAGAAGAAATCCAGTGAGATGGAGCTGGGGGTAGTTCAGCCTAGAGAAAAGGAGGCTCAGGGGAGACCTTATTGCTCTCTTCAACTACCTGAAAGGAGCTTATAGCATGGTGGGGGCTCGTCTCATCGCTTAGGTAACAAGCGACAGCATAAGAGCCTTAAACTATTCCAGGTTCAGGATGGACATCAAGAAGAATTTCTTCACTGAAGGGGTGGTCAGGCATTGGAATGGGCTGTGCAGGGAGGTGGTGGAGTCACCATCCCTGAAAGTGTTCAAGAAATCACTGGACATGGTACTAAGTGCTCTGGTCTAGCTGACCATCGAAAGTTGGATTCAATGATCTTAAGAGTCTTTTCCAACCTTATTGATTCTGTTTTTGTGTTGGTCAGTAAGGGTACCAAGTCTTCTCTATGGCAGTAGCAAGTACAGCTTTGCTCCAGCCTCTGCAGACAGGTTTGTAAAGCAGCAGTTAATGGGTGAGGAGAGAAAGGAAGCTGGGGAGCAGGAGGAGGAAGTAGCAGCCCTCTCCACCAGCTGTGCTAGATGTGGCGTGTCTCTCCTACATCCCTCTCTGCATTCCACATCCCGGCTCTTTTTGGCCATGCTGTGAATGACAGAGGGACCTCACTTAGACAGCAGTTTGTGGGAAAGGAACTGCCATAAAAATAACTTTGGAAAACAAGACTCAGCTCTTCAGCTTCAGGAACCAGGACTTCCCAATGTGGCCGAAAACCTCATGATTTCTGTGGTTACCACAGCAGTTCCAGCAAAGATCTTGCACAGAGGTCTTCCCAGCCCCTCTGCACTCCCATGCACGTCAGTCTCTCATTCTCTTTGATTGCATCACTGTCCTTCCTCAGACAGGATTGCAACACTTCCCTACCAAGAACACATCTCCCACCGAGAGGAGGAACAATTGGGATGCAACAAAAAAAAGCATGATAAATCTCAGGTTCATGACTGCTGCATGTCTGGCATACATCACTTTAAGAAAACAGACTATGGTGACATTGAGTCCATCTGGAATGCGGATAACTTGAAATTAAAACATTCAACATCTGTCTAAAAGAATTTGTCCAGAAGCTACAGAAGGTCATGAAAGCAGAAAAGAATGGGAAAGGAGAAGATTAATTTTGTTTACGGTGCCCAGGTCTGAGAATATAAAATATTTACAAGTAATTCTTCTTTTCTCCCAGCCCAGCTTCTCTGTAGGAGGTATTGTAAAAAAGACCCTGAAAGAGCCACACAGGCAAAAAGAGCATCTCGTTTTCATCATGTTCAAACAACATTTCCACCTACTGTCTCTTGATAATAACCATGAAAACAATTTTTCAACCGAGTATTGGGGTTTAGTGTTTCAGATGATTTTCTGTAAGAGGAGTCTGCTTTATGAAGAAAATGTAGATTTCTTTTTTTTACCAACAGGAATAAACCACTGAAGCATCTGCCATGGATTAGTGCAGGGGAGACCTCCCATCCCCAGCTTCCAAAGGGAGGGGAGGACTGTTTTCAGTGCTGCCTGTGTTCAGCACCTTGCCAGAAGGGAGGAACTACTGACACCAGCTCCCAGCTGGCATCTCCAAAATGAACAGCCTAATTTTATGTCTAGCATTCCACTGGAAAGTCAATGTATTTTTCATGGGGAAAACTGAAATTTTTGTTCTAGCCATGAATGTCCTCGATGCTCTTAGTGATTCAGGCACGTGTAATGGCCATATTCATCCATATTCAGTTTTACATCCTCAGTTCCGTTCCTTTCTCGATAGCTGTGCACCTCCTATCAGGCTTACAAGACACCCACCCACTTGGCTGGGTTTGATTTCCACCCCCCACCAGATTACCACAATTAACTATTTTTGAGAGTACTGACATGCAGTAGGCAGCAGAGGACACCTGCTTGAATTTGGTTCTTTATTTTGAGAAAGACAAGCAAACAAACAGCACTATAATGAGACTTCAGAAGTCCTCTCCCTACTTCATTCAATTTTATCTATCACTGTGCTCCTGTCCTGGAGGGGCAGACATATCTGCATTTCTTTCCATCACCTGTATTTTTCTTTCATATCTGCATTTCTCTCTCTAGTGAGACAGGTTACTTTTCAGTCAAAACTAAATTTCCATATGTTCTGTAAGTGACACTTCTAATTAAATCTTGCTCATTTGAATTCTCTGCTTTTCCTTGGATTTTAGGAAGCAGAGAAACACAAGATGGTTTCTTATGGTATTTTTTTTCTGTTGTCAGGAACACTGTTGGTTTTCTTTGCCCAGAAAGTCGGCCTTTTACAAAACCCCCTAATTTTGCCTAGCAGAAGCTGTTTTGCTTACAGAAACCAAACCAATTACCAAAGCTAACCATAACCATGGGTGCCTTTGTGGGCAGGGCACTCAGAGCAAAGAAAACCTATGAAAATAATTTGAAGTAAAAACAGATGAAGTGATTAAGAAATATACAAGGCACATCCCTGTATTACATAACCCAAAATACAACCTTTTTCTTGCAGTCTTTTTATGCTCTACACCATGTATGTGGATTAACAGTAGAACTAAACAGTCTATTTAGAAAACACAATTTCACAATGCCAACCAGACAGTTTCTGGTGCCATTTCTCCTGACACAGCCTTTGCTTCAATCTACAATTTAACATCTGCAGAAGAAGGAGGAAAGTGTGCTCCCTTCGGTTATGAAAACCAAATTATTTCCATATTAAACTGATAGTGGGAATGTAATAAATGCTAATAGTTTTGCCTGAAAAATAAGAAAAAAAAAAAAAAAAAGAGGCTGTGGAAAGACTTTTTTTTTTATGGATATCTCAGTTCTGATTGAATCTCCTATAGCCCAGTTAAGTGTGCAGGGAAAAGATGCTGTTGTGCCATCAGAACTCACTCCATTTCCAAAGCAGTTGGACAAATTCACAGAGGAAAAACCCACGGAGAACATGAAAGGCAAAGGCACCAGCAGGTGCCACCAGCAGACACCTGGGCCACAAGCTGCTGGCATCTGAAAAAGCATTGCTTTGTGCTTGCTGGGTTTTTATGCTGCTACTTTGGCTAACAGCAGGTCAGCCAAAAATCTCCTTGGCCAACAGCTCCTACCTTGGCCAACAACTTCAGCCTGGTCCAGTGTAGCCACCGGCACATTTCAAAGGATTTTCAACGACTGTGGGTACTGGCCAGCTCTGGAAAAACTTTCTAGAGAATCAGGACCTTATCCCTCACCTTAACCTTGACTCCCGCTTTCAGAAGGACTGGGTTTTAATTTATGCACAGGATGCTGAACCATTACAGGACAGGGCTCCTTGTGCCTGCAAAAGCAATTGCCACAGTCCTAGTATGGACTGAGTCTCTGGAACTTGGATGGAGTTGTGCTCCTCCATCACAGAAAGAAATCTCAAGGCTAACCTTCTGACACTTCAGACTGGTCTTTGATCACCCTCTATATATGTAACCCTGAAAAGATGAGCTGGCAGTATCAATCCCTAATTCACTGGGATGATGTTTGACATTACATTAAATTTTGTATTCTTTAGGGGCAGGGATGCAAAAAGGGGAATAAAGATGGACTTACTCAGCACCATGCATTTCCTATACCACCCATCTACCACTGGGCTAACAATTCAAACCCCAACTTTCTTCCAAATTCAGCCTCCTATAATCTTCTCTTTCTGGTTCAGCATGATAGTGACCCAAAACACCATTTTTCACTCTTGTGTTTTTCATGTACCACTACTGCATGTTAATCAACACCTCTCCTGGGTGTTTGTCCTGGCCACTGTCAGGAGAGCAACCTGCCACTGCCTTCAAATAGAGGCTCCCAATTGATGTTAGCAGGAATTAGAACCAGCTGGAAATGACTTTGTAAAAGTCATGCATCTCATTTAAAACAAAACAAAACAAAACGAAGCAAACATCCCCTAAGGAAAAAAAAAAAATCCAAAGCTAAGGAGACTTGAATTTTGTTTTGCCTTCAGCACAAAGCATTTTCCCTGCATGAGGTTTTCCACGGGCATCTCCCTTCAGATGATCCCACTGAAGAGGCAGCTGATGAAGGTGACCCTGTTCTTCCAAAGGACGGATGCAACAGAGCATGGATCTGATAGACCTCAATATGGATGGCTTAATTAACACCAGATGTCCCTTTTATGGGAGAAATAGTTGCTAGCAAAAAACATCTCTGATGAGATGCTGGTGGTATTTCCTAGGAGCCAACACTTACCTCCGTGCTGTGTGTGTATCTCCAGCAGGCAGCTGGGATCAATCCACAAAAGGCCAAAGCAAAACAGAAAAATCCCTGAGGATAAAGAGGAAAAATACCAAGAGTTACAGCCTAGGGAGAAAAATACCCATTTGCAAACACAACCAGGACATATTTAATATGCTTCTTTGAGCAAGTTTCATTAAAGTTTAAACATCGCCTCCTTTAATATTCCTCATAATGTCAGTTACCTAAAAGAAATTAGATGGACAATAATGTGGTTCTCCATCAGGAGCCCTCAAATTACACTGTGGCAAATTGAAGAGTTTGACCAAAAGACCAGGCAGCTTCCTGCAGTGCAGTTATTCTATTCTGCCCAATTTCCTCTTGGACAAAGAAAAGGAGGTAAAAAACATTACATTTACAGTATGCTTCCCTTCTGCTGCAGGACTGTGGTCCAGAATAGCATCTCCTTACTCATGGGATTCAACCCCCGGCATTTAAAACTTGGCTATTGGCATCAAAGAGGGGAAAACCCACATGAATAGTCCATAAAGAAGCAAATAACTAGGATAGAGATAGAAATCAACCTGCTCTGGAAGAGGAGCTGGACTTATCCTACGAGCAAGGTGGCAGCTGCACAGCCAAGCTGCCTTCCTTAGATCAGCACCATCCTAGTTAGACAACAGGATGACACAAATCTAATCAAGGGCAGAAACTGACCCTGAAATGTCTAAACAGTAACAACAATGCAGGACATGGCTTGACTTTTGTCTTCTTCCCTAGGCTTGCAGAGCTGGAAGTTACATGTTTTGTGTTTTTATTTGAAGAAATCTGGACCAAAAAACCCACACACCCTGATATAAAAAGCACTCGCCTGCTGTGACAGCTGGACCAAATGATCACATTAAAAAGAAAAAAGGAAGGGAAAAGTGCCTGTAAAGCGTTTGAAGGCTAAATGGGCTCGTCCAACAGGGATCCACATCTTAGTCTTGGAATGACAAAAGATGATGAATAAGCATCGGTTGAAATTAATGCCCTTACAAGTTTTTCCATGCAACTGTGCCTCTTTCAACACAACACTATGCAGGAAACTTACCCAGATGACTGCACCTTATTTTGATTTCTAACTTTTTTCTATGACTGTTTTCATTGTATTATATAGCTGAAATAACTTGAAAAAAGTTTAAATCTTTCATGACATTTTACCAAATTCAAGCTTAAGAGAGGAAGAAGAACATTATATCTTTTAAGCAATTTCTTTTGTGAAGCAGAACTGGTAGAAGCAGTTTCAAAAAATAAAAGCTCCAAACTCATGCATAAGCAGCAAGAAAGGAAAATATGTTACTTCAAGTCCTGGAAATGAAAGTGAATGTGCCAGTAAAACCCTTTTTCTGGCTCTTGTCCATCTGCTCTGTTTCTCTGCCCTGCCTAGGGACTTTGCTCCTGGAACAAGACTGCCACTGGTATTCACCGCTTTTTTTGGGGGCTGCCTTGTTTCAGGCTCTGCATCAGACACTAGGGAAAACCCTGGTACAGCTCTTACGAAAAACCTTAAATAATGTATGTCCACTCTCTCCTTTCATTTACTTTTTTGGCAGCTGCCTGGCCATATAGCTGATGAGATCACTGGTTGCCTTGCTAGGAGCTAAAATGAGATTACCCAAGACCCTAAAGAAGATGAGAGGAAAAGTCTGATCAAACACTGACATGACAAGGTAGTTAAAAGTCAGGAAGATGTGAAAGAGCTCACAGGGCAAGATATCTCAGACCAAAACCCAGCTGGAGTGGGGGGTTCAACCCTGCACAAACTGGAAGGAGGAGGTGAAGTTACACAGGCATGTCAGGTTGCTCCTCAATAGGACCACACCCTGCATTTTGCACTGCCTCCAACTTCCGCACCAAATAAACAGCATTTTCACCAAAATCAAGTTCAAATAGAAGAACATTTAAAAAAAAAAGAAAGTCAGGTAGAAAAACCAGCACTGATAGCAGTGTGACCACTCTTCTTTCTGCATATCATTCCATTAAAGTTATAATTCAGGTGACCCACCATGAACCCAGAGAGCATGAACAGCAGGATGCCAGTGACAACCCTGATTTCTCCCCCTGTGCTCTCCCTTCCTACCCCCACCAGCTCCAGCACTTGCATCTCTCTGGGGCCAAAACCCCCAGCAGACAAAAATCCTCCTTCTCATCTTCCCTTCCTCAGCTCCACCCCACATCTCAGTCCTTCAGCATCAGCTCTCCCTTTATTTCTGTCTGGTTTCTCTGGGAATACCAAGAATTGCCTTTGGAAAGCTCCCCCTCCATCCAGCCGGTGCACAGCAATTACATGGCTTCGAGAACAGCTTATAAATGAATTATAGCCTGCTTTTTCCCTTCCCAGCCAAGAGGCTTTTGGAAGAGCAACTTTCTAATTACATTAGAAGACATTTGGAGGAAAAAAGAAAAAGGCAATGTGCAGTTTGCATACAAAATGTGGAAGGGTTGAGGCTGGTTCACCATCTCCCAGACCCTTGGAGCTCCTCGGAGCCAGCCACAGGCTGCTGCCTGTTCCCTTTGCAAGAGCCACATCAGCCCCGTGGAGAGCTGTCACCAGGCAGACATCAATTACTCTTTTATGAATGACCTTGCTTCCATCCTTGCTGCAAGGAACAGTTTCTCTTTTGACAGACTTGGCAGAATCCGCAGGAACAGCACCCTGTTGTGTTAGCTGGTGTTTCTTTTAATTCACCTTTCTGATGCTCCCCCTTTGGTGAAGGGGGCCTGCTTTGGATGAGGGAGGTATGCTTTAACTCAGACTGTGCTCTCTAGCTGTGTTTTGCCAAACTCCCACACTTCCAGGGAAGGAGCTGACCTCTGCTCTGCTCTGCTCCAGCTGCTTTTTGGTGCTGCTGTGGTCATTGCAAAGGCCAGCTCCCTGACAGACCACAGAGCCCGTGGGCAAGGAAAGGGGGGAAAACTTCAGGTGGCATCCATCAGGTTGTGTCCCTCCCTGCCTGACCCAGTTCATCTAAAAGCACACAACGTGTTTGCCCTTCCACAGAGCTAACACGAGTCAGTGACATCAGTCCCAAAGAGGAACCTGTCCTCAGCACCAGCTCTGCCACTGGCACACAGACACATCACTCAGAATTGCACCATGCGGGAGAGCACAGGAGGCAGCTTAAATTAGAAAGGAAGATGCTGAAGTGTGCTGCAGTGATATTAAGAACCCTCTACACGCTGGCCTACACCTGGGTATAATAAAGCAAACAGCTCTGTGTGCTGGCCCTACTAGCTCATCAATCTTGATGAAAAACTGGGTTATATTGAGCATTCGCTGAGGCTTTTTCCACTGGATTTTTTTGGAACATCTGCTCCATCCTGAACACAAATTTTCCTCTATACTAGTCGGGTTTTAGACTGTAAAATTCAGATGGGAGAATTTCAGCTGGGATATTATGGTCGGCATGTTGCTCCCTGTTTTTTCTTTCCCTTTTTCTGTCTGACCAGGTAAAAGCACATGATGCTTTAAACCTCACCAGTACCAGAGTCTTTCCTTTGGGCAAACAGCACTAAGAAAACAGCTGTTTTTCTTCCTTTTCCTCCCCTTCAATAGCGACATGGCCTCCAGGGGCTCTGAGAGCTGTGGGATATTTACATTGAGGACTGACTGCATGATGGGCCATAGATCACCAGAAAGCATAGTTTGCCTGGGCTGGAAGAGACTCAATAAGCTTGTTGCTATTCTCCCTGTTCAAGAGGAGCTTTAGGTGTAAAATTTCTGATTTTTAGAACATAATTTTTTATCCTTAAGTTCTCAATTACTTTCTTGGAACCAGCTTCCGCATAAGCAGCACCGGATGCACAGTGGCATCTGTCTGGTCTCATGATGCTGCTAATGCAGCTAGAAGACAATCTCCTGAGACCTGTGTGCTTAAACAAGTTTGACCTGTCCTGGTTTCTAACCACTGTGCACCCATTACTGTTTTTAGAACAGCAGCAGTAAGGCCTGCAAAGACTTCTTCTCTGTAGGCACACAAACCTCCAGGCAGCATGACAATATATAATCCAAACAGACAAAAGATGCTCCTGTAAACCAAATCTGCATCCTTGTCAGCTTTTCTCCAGAGTGGCTGGCTTACCAAGTGAGATTGTGGTGGACCAGCCACATTGATGCAAGCATCCCCCACACATGGCTGGGTTTCCTGGACAGCCACAGATGTCAGGCAAATAGTCTGTTGTTTTCCCTCTTTGATTAAAGAGTGAATTAAATGGTCTTCTAAATAAGACACACTCTATGCAGGGAGGAAAAGTCCTTTAAAATCAATAGCAGGGGAAGATGAAATATTCTCTCTATTGCAGAAGGAGGAAAAAAGCTCCAAGCAGCAGGGCTGATCACTGCTGTGAGCTACAGCACAGCAGGGATCAGCAGGGCTTGACAACACACTGACCAGTTTTGGAGCCCCACAGGGCCAAACCCCACTCCTGCCTGCGAATACACCTCGCTGCAGCCGTCAGGGCTGGCTCTCCCTGCTTTTGCTTCCTGCTGGCAAATCAAAGACTAAATGTGTGCCTTGGGAGTAGGAACTGGGGGAAAACAAGCAGCGAGCTGCCCTTTGGTGGAAGACACGGCTGGGAGGGGAGGGGGCAATTCATAGGAATAGGCAAAGGCCGTGTGATTTAAGACGCCGATGAACTCCTTGAACGACTTGGAGCCGAGAACACCCTTGCTAGTGGCCAGCTCTTGAGTGTCTCGCAGGGTTCCTGTTAATTCCTGAGGGCTGGGGCCGTGCCGCCACCCGGCAAGGGTCAGTGAGGCTGCTCCCGCTGCGCGGCACCTCCTGGGGCGGGCGGGGAGCGGGGAGCGGAGCCCGGGGAGCGGAGCCCGGGGAGCGGGGAGCGGAGCCCGGAGAGTGGAGCCGAGCCCGGGGAGCGGGGCCCGGGGCCCGGGGAGCGGAGCCCGGGGAGCGGGGCCGAGCCCGGGGAGCGGGGCCCGGGGAGCGGAGCGCGGCGCTGGAGCGGCCCCACGCGGCTGCCGCCGGCCTTCCCGCCTCCGACCCCACGGACCGGCACGGAGGCGGCGGAAAAGGAGCTTCAAGGCAGCCAAGAGACATCCCGTTATCCCTTCCGAGAGCGGCGTGCGATGAAGCTTCGTCGCCACAGCGGCGGGGAAGGCACCTCGCACCTTTCCTCTGCTCCCCGCAAGGCAGCGATACCGTGAGCTCCCTACAAACGTGCCATCAGGGGCCCAAAATGCAGGCGGCCACATCCCCTAGAGGACCCCAACTGTGGGAGCTAAAGACAAGCCAACAGGATGCACTAGGAGCCACAAAAATAAATAGCCACTTTGAGGGGTCTGCCAGCCAGAAGTTGCTTTGGCAGGCAGAATTTGGCTGTGATGCCCCAAACCAGCCAGGCTGGCGGAGGTGATGGGTGGCTGGAGGAAAGGATCACCCAGGTTACGACGGGAAAGGAGAGCAGCAGCACGCGGCCCTTGGACAGTGCTCTTTGCACAGCAGCTCTGGGGTTCACTCAGTATGTGTTGGTGCTCTTTAACAATTGCTTCAGGAAATGGTGAGTACGTTAATAGCCTGTTCTATGGAGTGGCATGCCCCAAACTATACCAAAGAGTAAGGCAACAAATAAATATTATAGAGAAGTTTTGACTGTATTTTCAGGCAGCCATGACATTCTCCACTGATCTGTACATACCTGTCTGTTGGTTTAGATGTGGTAATTGCAGGCACACATTAAAGACACCGTCAGCAGAAGAGAGGGGTGTTACACATATTCTGCTTAATTCATGGGCCCTTAATTCAGGCCCCTTTGGGAATCTCAAACAGAGAAAGGAAGATGGTGTATTGAGAAAGTGAAAACATTAATTTTAGTGGCTGCTTTGCACTGAATTTTCTGGTATCAGCTTCTCATTTCTGCCATCAGTATAATTCCCCCAATTACACAGATTAAATAAATCTTTTTAAAGTTAGTGTATGACAGCAATGCAATTATTTTATATTAAGCAAGATTTCATGCTCAACAACCTACCTGTTAACTCCTGCCATTCCCATGGGAAAACACGCAGTGAGCGGCACTTTACCACTCATCCCTCCAGCTCCAAGGCTGGAAGCTGCTCTGTGCAGGCTAAGCCCTGCATGCAGGCTCTGTTTTGAAATGGAACTTAGCTCACAGTGCAGTTTACTACTGTCAGCATGGTCCAGGCCCAAACAGGCTGATGGAGAAGAGAAAGGGGGAATTTCAACTCTTACGCTACTTCTCAACCTTCTCCTTGTAGGCTGAAATTCAGGGTCCTGCCCAAATCCTCCATGCCCGCTGCTGTGCTTTGTATGGATGTTTGCAGTGAGGTAGGAAAAAGAGGGGCTAATTTTGCTATCACAAGTTGGGGGAAGCATGTGAGACTCAAAATCACACTGCTAAGGTTTCCCCACACAAATCATGTTTTGACTTGATGAGGAGAAAAAAAAATACCCTGGGAATTGTCATCATTGTAGTTGCTTGGCAGATAAACACCTTCCCTCTGAATGCTGCTTACACAGGACCTTGGCAAAAGAAACTAGGCACAGAATGATGCAATCCTCAGCCTGAAGAGCTCTGCAAGGTCACGCTTTTTCAAAACTGTCCCCTTGCAGCACAAGGTGGAACAACAGGACCTCCTTCCCCAGGCGTGCATTCTCCCAGCCATAAGGCAACGCAGCCCCCAGCACTGCACGTTGTGGGGGCCAGCCCCCGGTGACAAAAAGCCCCTCCCAGCCAGTCCCTGCAGGTGTGGGTACGCACCATGGCGGTGAGGCACTGCGATTCCCGCACCGTGGCGGCGGAGCTCAGCAGGGCTGCCAGGATCAGCGTCATGCTCAGGCAGATCCCAAAGTAGAAAGCTGGAAGGAAGACAGACATGGGAGTTGTGGTGAGATGCCAGAGGCCTAGTCTGATGCTTCACCCTGAGAAGGGCCAAAAACTGCATTTTGGGGAGCTGGCCCCAAAGGGCCAGGCTGCAGAACTGAAATTTTTCTGTAATTAATTCAATACCCCCATCTGTGTATGCTTTGCTATCTGTGTCTGGCAGGGCTGCAAGCTTCTGAGTGGTTCCCACAGCTCCAGCAGAGTGAAGCAGCCTAAGATGGTGTTAGTCCACCCAACAGACCAGAAGCTGCCAATTACTTCAGCATTCTGATAAGGATCCCGCCCCCCAAATGGGGGTGCTGGTGCAGCAGCTGTCCCACAGCCTCTATCGGGACTCCAGCACTGCTAATCTGGTGCAACACTCACCCTCTGGTTTCCCCCTGGCTCAGGCAGGATCACAGCCAGTTCCCCAGGGCAGGGCTGAGGGACCACAGCGCTGAAAAGGGTTTTGCTAGCCTAACCATGCAGAGGTAATGCTTGCAAACAAAGCAAGTGGCAGTGTTGCTGGAGATGGGTGGCTGGGGTGGGGGAGCCTGCAAGGCTGCAGGCAGTGCTAATATATATGTGTAGGAACAGGGAAAGAATGTACCTTAGCCTTGGACTAACATAGGTTTTACACCTGCCTTGTTAAACTGAAATTGAGAACCAGGGTCTTGGAGACCTTTGAGAGGTCCTCCTTTGAGAGGATATGAGCGTGTTTAAGCCCAGAGTGCAGCTCAGGAGAAGCAGCAGATGCAAGTGCAGCGGTGGTGAGGAAGGTATTTTAGTATCCGGGCTAACTTTACTCCAGCCTTGTACCTGAAACTCATTTTATACTTCTCCCTTGTGAAAGCAAGAATACCACACATTTCCTCAGAAAAGCTCGAGGTGCTGCCAAGCATTTCTCCTCCCAGCCTCAATTTCCTATGTTCTGCTTCAACTCCTGTAACTCCTGTGCTTCCAGTCTTCTGCCAGTGCCAGTGCACTTTAAGTGACTGGGAACCTCCTCCTGAGCTCTCACCATAGCACAGGGGCCCGAGAATAGAGAAACACATGCAAATATAGAAGCACCTGAGCACCCCGTGCACCCACTGCATCCTCCAAAACCCAGCTCCTTTCTCCTCTTGAGATACACCTGAATTTTCTTCTATTGCTTTAAGGAATTTTGAAGCTCTGGGTATCACCAAAGGTTTCACTGGGATGTGACCACAACATACCTGTGTGGTGGATGGCCCTGTAGGCATTGCTGTCCAGGGAGATGTTGCTGATGAGGGTGAAACGGAGCCCATAGTGGGTGACTGTGCTCAGTGTGGCAATGGAGAGCCCCAGCAGCTGGAAAAGAAGGGTTTCAGGAAGGGATTTGCAAGGCAGCAGCTCTTGCTGGGTATACGCAAAGGTTTGAGGTATACCTGGATACTCCTGAGCCCCATGCAAATGCAGACAGCCTCATCATCCAGAGACCACCACATGTACCCCAAAATGCACATAAAAGACAAACCCCAGATACTTAAAAATACTAAAACTGGTTTTCTCTCTTGCATAATGAATGCATGTAACACTGTCCAGCCTACAGTCTCTTGGCTAGTGTCTATGGATTAAATTCCCATCACATGAAGAAAACTGAGAGGATTTACATTCTTGCAGCACACCTGTGCAGTGCCACCCCACTCTGCAGACTCTGCATGTGTGGCTGTGAGGGCTTGCCAGCTTCAAGAGGGGTTTTGAGCAGGTGTGAAGTTCTCTGCTTTGCAATACCAGTGTCATTGCCTGCTGTCAGCTCTGTTTCCTATGGTAGAGTGCAAAGATCTGAATCCTGTACTACTGTAAGCTGTCTGTGGTGGTTTCTGTCTCTGCAAGGTTTTGCTGTTCAGTCTGTTTCTGTCCCTCCCCTGAGAGTCCCAGTATGCCTAAGCCATGGGGTAACCACTTGCACATCACCTCTCCAGCTGATGGAGAGGGAAAATTTCTGATGGCACCTGGCTCTAGGGCTGGCCTCCTTGCAGCATGACTGGTGGCAGAGCTGTGACAAAGGCACCAGCAGCAAAACCAGCTCCAAATCTAGTGTAATGATCCTAGAAAACACAAAATGTAAGCCTACTCCTAGCTCCAAAGATAAGGTTTCATCATTTTGTGCCTTTACAATATGAAAACACAAGGCAGCTATACCTGTGTCAAACGTGACAGTGCAATCTCAACATAATCCCCACTGTGTGACATTTTCTAATAGCTTTTGCTGGAGGCTTATGGTCTCAGAGACTAAATCCATCCAAATCGTAGCACTTTGTCTAACCTAATTTGTGGCACCTTCTGATCTTTCAGACCGTGCATCACTGCGTATCTTGACTCACGCCCAGCAAAATATGAAGTGCAACATCAGTTAGCTCAGATTTCTGAGAAACACCAGTCTAAAATCCTCCCAACAGCAAGAATGTGATTCTAACCATCGACAGCGGCTGTGCCTTAATGTCTCCTCTAAACGTGCTTGGTACCAATCTTCCTTTCATTTCCTCCAAGTGGCATATTCTGTTATTGGGAAGAGAGAGACACCTTACAGCCACTGCAGTCTTGGAATGTTGACATTTGGAAAAACTACAAACTTCTTTCATGGCCCAAAATAAGGTATTACCTTTTAATTACACTCTTAGCAAGCCACCAACCCTCTTTGAGCTAAATACAGATAATTGTTATTGCTGTTGTTACAATTATTATTATTAAGCTGGCAAGATTTGATGAAGTGAAAATGCAACAAGAACATACAAGTCAAAGCATCCATGAGAAGTGTTCTCTAGTTTCCACCATTTCCCATCAGCTCTAACAGCAGATGTCCATAAACTCCCCTTAAATTTGCTTCAAAAGTTAACAAAAAGAGTCCCTGGAATTGATTCCCCTTTGCAGTGGCGATCCACAGGTTTCTCACACACACTTCCACCAAAGTCTCGCAGTTTCATATCCTCACTGATCCCACCTGCAGTCGACCACCCTCCCAGCAGCAAGTGTGACTGCAGCATGGCCATCCTCTCTCTTTTGCTCCAAGGAGACAGGAGCAAATACCTTTTTTGCTGAGAACTACCCATTCTGCCAGCAGCGACCTTCTCTTTCTCCTTGGAGGCAGCTGCTGAGTTGTGAAAGAGCTGCAGTGGTGTCACAGCCCTGAGAAACCAGAAGTCTGTCAGAGGAGGGGGGGCGATGCTGGTGGCCAGCGATAACCGCCCATGGTGCAATGATAACTCAGGCAGTTGGCTGTGCTTGCCCTCCACCCGCCAAAAACAGAACGTGGGAAAACCATCCCCTCTCAGAGCGGGGATGGGAAAGGCAACAGCTCACCTCAGTTCTGCAGAGATCCCCCCCAAACCTGCCTGCTCACCATGACACAGAGGCTGGTCACCAGCAGCTGGCACTTGGTGGTCCTCATGCCGCACCTCAGTCCCATGGCAGCTTGTCCCCAGAGAGAGCTGGCAGTTGGTCCCTCCAGCTCTTGATAAAGCCTGGGTTTCCACCAAAGGGAGGCATGGCCACAGCGGGGCCTCTCAGGAAGTGGAGTCCCCACCACGTGCTGATGCACCTCCTCCTGCCTGATTATTAAATCCTCTTTAGGGCAGTCACCTTCTGCACAGGCTCTCAGTCAGCTGCTGTCAGCTCCTGCACAGCCAGCTGGGAAAGAAGGAAAGGCATACAGAAAAACAACCTTTCATAGAGTTTAGAGCAAAACTCCTTTAAAAAAAAAATTAAACTGTTCAGTCAAGAGTCAGTGTCAAAATATCCTGATTTTGACTTCCACTGGGATACAATTTTGCTTAATAAACATTGTTGGCAACATTTTTTTATAATCTGCATAAATTATATTTTCTGAAAACGTCTAGGAAAACATTAAAAAAAACACAACAACAAAAAACCTATTGTTTAACAAAGAGATTAAACTCTCTCCCCAGACAGATCTCTGTAAAAGCCTTCTCTCCCCATGTAAAACCACATGGCAATAACCTTTGGCTGAGCTTCTATTAGAACTTGCATTTGCAGATAAGGGAAAAAAACACATTTGGTAGTGCTTAACTCAGGAAAAATGGCTATATGAACATATAACCCCCTGCTCAGGAGACCCTCACGGTCCATGGACATTTTAACTCTTCCTTTCCCTTCTCTTAGCACTGAAGACTCCATGGACCCACGGCCACAGAAGACTCAGGTAATTCCTGGTATTCAAAACCAGCTGCTCCCTGAATGCATATTTCTTAAATCACAAAGAAGCCTCAAGAATTATCTGGCCAAAGTGAGCCTGAATGACTGAGTGGTGGTGTTCTCCACCAGACTGGTGGAGAACAGGTGAAGCAGACTAATGAAAAATAACTGCACTCCCCCCAGGTGGCAAGCAAAGGGAGTAAAAAAGTAAAACCATCCCACAACAGTAACTGCAGTAACAGGAAGATGACAAAGAAGGAGGAGGAGAGGAGTGAAAAAGGAAGGAAGATGCATATTGCAAAGCAAAGAGAAGAGAAAGAGAGTTGCACAAAGCCATGAGCACAGGGAAAATCATGTCATGGTTTTCTGACTACATCACTAGCTTTCTTGTAAGCTTTCCTGCAGATCATCTTGGCTGCAGCCTCCTGAGACACCAGTGAGAGCTGCCACAGCCAGTGCTAAAAACAAGTGTCCCCGAGGCTCAGCAGTCCTGCCCTCATGCCCAGGATGAGACACTGAGGTACCCATGTGCAGACAGAGACTTTCCTCCTCTGGCCACCAGCTGGGATAGACAGCAGGGCAGGAGGACAGGGGGGAGAGGACAACAGGCTGGTGAGGCAGCTGATGCCAATTTCAGGAGCAGGACCCCCGGGAACAGACCAGGTGGGGAAAATGCCCTGTAAGACACTGTCAGAGTTAGGATTGCATCAGAATTCAGAAATGTGGGCATCCCATCACTTCTGGTACTAGAGGACAGACGGGGGTGTTGTCACCTGCGTTTTCAAGGAGAGGGATCCCTGGTACAAAGACAACGGAGCTGGCCCACCGGTGGAGTTACAGGTTAAATATGGAAGGGCTGAAAGAAAGCATGAGCCCAGCTCTGTAACACCAAGCCGCGTCAGCCCAGCCACGACCGACAGCCACCAAGCCGTGTCACCTGGCCTGAGCACACCCGGAGCCTGTTTCACAGCGGCGGACAGGGAAAATAACACGGAGCCCATCTCCGTTTCCCCCTAGATCCCATTTCCTTCCCCAGTCCTAAACACCTGCCGCCGCAGAGACCTGTGCCAAGCCAAGTCTCACACTAGAGGTCCCCACAGGCCAGCAGAACCCTTTCCCGAAGGGCGGGATGATCGACGTGGGCTCTCTGAAGGGCATTTCCCTCCCCAGTTCCATAAAAGTCTCCTCCGTTCCTGTAGAAACCTCACACCTCACCTCAGGTCCACCTGAGAGGTCCCAAAATCGTCATCTACGTGCCTTGCAAGGGCTGCTAGTCTCCCCACGAAATATGTCCTACCTCCTTTGTCTCCAGCCATAAAAACGGGTACCTTCACTGACTCACGGAGCTCTGAAAGCAGGTCTGTAACTTCTAACACCTGTGTTTAAACGGCTCCTTCCTCTGTTTTGGCTGAAAATTACTATTCCTGAGTAGCTTGACCATATCTTCTGATGCTTCTCCCACCTGCAGTGCTTGGTGCCTCACCTTTGTGCCCACTCTGTCCGCCAAGTGCTCTGCCTGCTGGGCTCAGGGGTGGAGGGATTTTCTGCTGTTTCTCTTTCCTCTTTCTTACCCTCTATCCCATACAGGTATGCCTTGAAAGGTTCCTGTTTGGAGCACAGCATATGTGGATTTCTAACATTACAAAAATAACAAAAGCAAAAGGAGTTGCTGCCTCACGCTCAAAAGCCAAAAGGAAAGTCACTGCCTCACCCAAAAGAAAGCAGGAGCATCAGTAGAGCTGGGATATTAAGATGTTGGGCTGTGATTAAGGAAGGCATATTTGGCACATGGAAGGGCACTGCTGAAGGGAGAACAGGGGGCTCTGTGCTCATTTTACCTGTGCCCATCAGCAAGGCAATCTGTGAAACACTTCACCTTCTGTGGGATTAAACTTTCTCTGGGTGCCCTGCTGTTGGCACACACCTTCCTCAGCAGGCAGCTACCTGTCTGCCCAGAAAGCACTGGTGAGAAGCAGGGTATCCCCTCAGCCTCAGCCCAGTGGGAAAAGAGGCAGGGCTGGTGGCATGCTGGGGAACCACCCTCACAGCCAGCATGTGGGCTGGATGGCAGCTAGGTTTTTCCAGCAAGACTCAGCCTCCTGCCCACCCTGGCAGGTTCATCAATTGGTTCCTTTTCCAAGAGCACGACTTATCACTCCCAAAAGCTGTGCAAAAACCACAGGTGACCACAGCTCCTGCCTGTGGCTTCCTACCTTATCTCTGGTTATCAGTTGGAGCAGGGACAGATGGTAGTGAGCCTGAAAATACCCCAGGGAGCACAAGTGCTCTCTTTCTAGCCTTGTGGCAGCTTGCTGATTTCTGTTATGAAAATATACATCAGCATCCCCAGCTGCATGGGTCTCAGAGGGAAGTGATACCTCATCCAGAAGGGGAGGATTGATTTTAAAAAGGGAACAAAGCCAGATCATATTTTTTTGCAAAGCTATAAACCCCCAACCCTCTTCTGAGCCGGAGGGAAACAACGCCCACTCTGTCAGAGGGATGTTCTGAAAGAGCTGAGGGATTTGATGTGTTAATGCTGCATGGGGTGAACTTGGGACACTAAACACAAATGGAGGAGAAGAGGTTAAATTTGTGCTGGTGCTTTCTTGACATCCACTTTTCTGGCTCTCACTCGGTCAGTGCAGCCACCAGTGATGGAACAGCAGCACCCCAGCCTCAGCTGTTTGAACTCTGTTGATGCAGCAGGGAAGAGAATCTTCCCCCTTGTATTTGGGGCACTACTACACATGCTCCTGTGTGGATGCTAACTCTGAAACAGAGAGCTTGTGAAACTGCAGGCCATATAGCTTCTCAGTCTTGCCTGAGAAGCTGGCCTGGGAAATTCATGGGAGGATTCAAAACAATCCTCAGGGACAGAAAACAGCCTTACAGGTGCTGTATATGTCTCTTGTTTTCTTTGCAGGAGAAGGTCTGGGGGTGTGTGCCCCACTGACCAATGATGGCAATGTAGTAGTTTACTAACCAATAAGAGTTTCCTTTCTGTACTGTCCATGTATCAGTCTGTAAAACAGAGCTGAAGTAATAAACTACGAGACATTCTCCTGATCGACTCCCTAGAGAGTCTGTGTGGTTCTTGCCGTTCCTAATAGAGCGACACTCCTGAGAAAGGATGGGCTGTAAGCAAGAAGGAGGATGTCACCCAGAAGCCAAAACTACGCCCATCGTCCAGGCAGGACACACCTGTGCCAGGTCCCTGCTGCCTCTCAGGAGCCTCCTCCTTTTCCAGCCCACAGCACCACTGGGGAAAATACCTCCCCTCCGCAGCAGAAAGCAGCTCCAAATGTGTCAGATTTACAAGTGTCAGTGGCTCAGCCCATTCAGTCCCTCAGCTACTGCCCGTAACACGGCTGGATTCACCCTAAAGCTCGCTCGTAAATAAAACATGTCCATATCAAACCACACCGCAGCCATAGGAACGATGGGAAGCCAGGGAGACCTCACAGCCTGCATCTGCCTTCCCGGGCACATCACAAGGATGCATTGTAAAGGCTGCTTAGCATTCATATAGCACATACACACAATCAAAGCTAAAAATCAGCTTTTAAACCCGGGGCCATCTCTTTTCAAAAAAGGAAAGAGAGGAGAAAATTGGGAGGTGCTGGGCTTTGCCAAGCTTCAGATGCAACACGCAGCTCCACTGTGAATGGAAACAAGGCTGGCTGGAGGCTGCCTTGGAAGACAAAACCAGAGAGAAATCATTGTATTTCCAAAGCACATCTTTACTTATTATTTTCAAAGTGTGTCTCAGAAATCCTCTAGTGATTCCCAGGTAATTTAAAATTATTATAGATGAGCAAATAAAATGTCAGAAGAGTTATTAAAAATAGTTCATCAAGCCAGAGAAAGATTACATTGGAAAAGAGCATAAGCTGAAGACAGGGAGTTAGTTCCCTGTCAAATAACTTCTTTCTCCACTGAAAGTGAAAGAACTGTACTCATAGCTCTAAAGCACCCTGCTCTACTCAAATTTAATTATTTTTTCTTTTTCACATGCTACCTAATTGCAAGCCATAACTGCCCAGCAGCCAGCTGTGCAGATGATTGACCTGAAGACACAATGTGAACCCTGCCCCATCTAACCCTGCTTCTGGCAAAACCAGCGTGAGCACGGCCCAGCCTGGTAAATGGGCTCACTAAGAACAGGGCTGCTCAACTGCCCATCACCCTTTATTTCTGCCATTCAACCTCTTAAGCTTTATTTATCTCAAGCAACAGGACCCTCATTGCTTTCCACTGAAGTCCAGAAAGATTTGGCAA